TCCTGCAAACAATAAACAAAGAAAATCAACAGCCAATAATGAACTGTTTTTAGCCTTTAGCTGTGGCACAAAACCCCAATCTATAAATATTTAAGGCATAGAGCAGATCTCTCTCTATTCAGTATAGCATCCTTGATTCTGATAGAAATGAGCAGTCTTTTCTGAACCACATAATATTTTTTCAACGTTGTGGGTTAGAGGCAGCAGTGGCCAGTTTAGGACAAAGAAAATCTGGTCAAATACAAAGATCAAGACACAGTATTCCATCTGCCTCACTGCTAGTTCAGGGTTTATCCATAAAAATAAATAACAGAGGGGCAAGCCCGGTGGCGTAGTGGTAAGTTCACGCACTCCACTTCAGTTGCCTAGGGTTTGCAGGTTCGGAACCTGGGCATGGACCTATACACTACCCATCAAGCCATGCTGAAGCAGCATCCCACATACAAAAAATAGAGGAAGACTGGCACAGATGTTAGCTCAGCAACAATCTTCCTCAAGCAAAAAGAGCAAGATTGGGAACAGGTGTTAGCTCAGGGCCAATCTTCCTCACCAAAAAATAAAAGTAAACAAATAAATAAATAATGGAAAGTGAATATTATAGTCATCTTAGAGCTTTGACTGGACTAGTACACATCCCACATATTGCCTGAATTCATGTTTAACTATATCAGTAAAAAACTGTGTACCCTTTCATAGCATTTATTGTTAACTACTCTTTATGTCTTATCTTTAAAGTACTGAGTTAAAGAACATGGTTCAGGGATTTGCAAGATGAAAAATCTAAAGAAGGTCTGGTTGCATTCTAAAATTACAGTTGTCACAATTTTGTTTGCCAAAGTAGGAAAAGAAATGGGCATTTAAAATAAGCAGAGATGGGGCCAGCCCCATGGTGTAGTGGTTGAGTTCAGTGCACTCTGCTTCAGTGACCCAGGTTCAGATCCCAGGCGCACACCTACACCACTCATCAGTCATGCTGTGGTGGTGACCCACACGGAAAGTGGAGGAAGATTGGCAGAGATGTTAGCTCAGGGCTAATCTTCCTCAACAAAAAGAAAATACGCAGAGATGTATGACAAAAAAGGAGATGAGGAACACATTTTATTTGCTCTGATAGTCTTACACAGAATTTATGTACAATTATTTTGAATGCTCGAAGTTCTTCACTTTGTTGTCATTATTTTTTGCTTTTGTTTTAGGTATTCTGCATTGTGCTGAAACATGAATGTTTTAGGTTTAGGTTGATGGGTGAGGCAAGTGATAAGTGACATGCTACTTACACAGAAATTGAAATTTGTAACAATACTCAAAGAAAAGATAGATTTTTTAAAATTGAAAATTATTTTTCTGCCTTACTTAGGTTTTAATGTGACATTCCCTAAGTGGCAAGCTTTTACCAGACATTTAAAATACAACATTTAAAAATGATCAAAGGAAGGTGAGGATACAGGTAAAAAGACAGCTTATGGAAGTGAAACCTGAAAGGAAGTTTTAACAATATGTATCAAAAGCTTTAAAAAGAGTCACACACTTGGACCCAATAATTTCACTACAAAAATCTACTCGAGGAAATAATCACCTGTGTACCAAAAGATTTATATAAAGATATGCTTCTCTCAGTAGTATTTATGACAAATAAAATGTAGTATGATGCTAGCAGAAAGGTACTTGCACATATATGAGCCTATAAATATGTTATGTATATTTGCTTATTTATTTAAAAGATAACTAAAAATTTACACTAAAACGTTAACCACGGTTTCCTCTGGGTGTAGGATTATGGATAAAATTAATATTCTTTGTTTGCAATATTTTCTAGAAGAGTATGCATTAATTTTATAATATTAAATTAATAAATATTTTAAGTTATTAAATTTTAAAATTTAGTCATTTTAAAACATAAAAGGTTTTGACAGAAACATTTAGTAAGAAAAGCTATGTACACCAAAAATACTGATCCAGGGATATTCAGTAATTGGTTGTTACTTCTTTAACCTTTGTAAAACTGTAGTAAAAATAGGTTTTATTTTTGTTTAGTGAAAAAGTATTATTGTTGGTTCGTATGTAGTCCATTTGCTGTTCACTGCTTTGTGGCCCCTTCTGCGGTTTAAGTAGTGGCTGACACTACTCAACTGACTGGCAGCTATCATTTGAATGCCAGACTTATCTTTATGCAAATCTCCAAAGGTCGCCATTTATGCATGTAAATTCTGAAGGGCGCTAACTATACAGCTGACAGATTCTGACAGCCACTATATCTCCAAGAATGGAATAAGCAGAGATGACTGCCTCAATAATTAATGTGCTTTTACTCTGCCCATGGCCAGTTTTACATCCTGTACTTTTTGACTACGGTTTTGAAATTAATTAGAAAATGTAATTTCACAGCAAACCAAAACATTTTTTTTTTAATTTCTATAAACAAATGATTAAAGAAGTGAGAAAATTAAGGAGCTTTGGTTTAGGTGTTATATTTGTAGAGATCACTCCTACCTAGATATAAAAATTAACATCTAGTTCTGGATGTTATTTATGTAAAAGACAAGCATTACTATTTCTATAAAAACACTAATTATTATTTCAGTAAAGAAAACACACACAAAGAGCTCTGCTCCCTAAAGCTCAGTAAATGGCACCGCCAGCCATCAGGGTTGCTAGTTTCAAACCTGAGATTCATCCCACTGAGACTTCAACGCTCACTACCTGAATGCAATCAGTCACTAAGACCCATAAATTTTACCTTCCAAATAGTCCCAAATGTGTTACTACCACTCAATCCCCAGTGCTGTTGCCTTAAACCAGATCTTCATTATAATTCACCTGAGTTATTGCAAATTTTTCCCAAATAATCTTCCCGCCTCTCGTCAAAGGGTCACCCACACTTCCTCCAGAGTGATCTTTCTAATGTCCGAATTGATGAGCAAGGCCAGTGGTACAATATAAAAGACACATAAAAAAAGAAATTAAAAGGATGCTATAAAGAGGAAATATTAAGAATATATTAACTAATGAGAAAAGACAACATACAAAATTGTGCGTAATGTGGTAACGTGATCTGGAGAAAAATAAAGCAGGAGAGGAGGGCAGAGGGCGTCCCCAGGCAGTTTCATAATTTTAAATAGGATGTTCAGGGAAGGCTGCCATGAGAAGAGGAGATTTAAAGCCTAGGAAATAAGCCGTGGAATAACTAGGGAGAATGTGATTGCTAGAGAGACCAAAAGGCTAAGGCTTCTAGGTAGAGTAGCCTTGTGCGTTCAGCGAATGGCAATGAAGCCAGGGCAGCTGGAGCGCAGAGGAAGATGAAGATGGAACAGCGCTGAGTGCTATACAATGAAAACAGTGAGCCAGGAAAACAGGAACTGTTGTAATTCTCCAGGCAAGAAGAGACTGTGATTTGAACCAAGGTAGTAGCTGAGGAGGTGCTCAGAAGTAGTCGGACAGAATGTGCTGATGGATGTGCGATACATGCCAAAGAAAATTCAATAATCACTCCAAGGATCTGTGCCTAAGGCATTGGAAGAATAGAGCCATTAACCAAAACTTCTGTGACAGTACTGTTTCTAAATAGGCTTTATTATTTTGAAAACTTTGATGCTTTGTGGTTAAATCCATTCAAAGAGGTCATTTACTGCAGAAAATATATCTTCTCCTTTGAGGTTCAAAAAATTATAGTTTTTGTTTGTAAAAAACAAAAAAACAGTGTTTTTAAGTGCTTAGACATGCCTAGCTCTATTCCAAGTGATATGTGGTAGACGATTTTGTTAACCCCATATTACAGATGAGGAAATTGAAGCACAGAGAGGGTAAGTAACACCCTCAAGGTCATACATAGAGTCTGCCTTCAAAACTCCACCTCTTTACTCTGCTTCCTCTCAGGTGTTTGTTTGTTTGTTTTCTTTTGTATTTTATTACTAAAATAGAATCCAGAAATTTCCAGGGCTCATAGTGGTGCAAAGGGTTGACTACAAAGGGGCATAAAAGAACTTCTGGGGGTGACGGATACGTTCTATATCTTGATTTTGGTGATACTTACACAACTTTATGTGTTTGTCAAAACAAAACTGTAAGTTAAAAAGAGCTTACTACATATATGCTAGACATCAATAAACCTGATTTTAAAAAATTAAACTAGCAAATATCATAAATTGACACATTAAAAATACAGATATTTTTTCCAAATGCAAAGTGAATCTCTCAGACTTCATAATTTGTTCTAATACTTTTTTCTGATTAAAGCAATATTTTTAATGTCATCTTCCAACAGTATTTGCTGACAAAGTAATACATTTTTATTTGTTGCCATATAATTTTTCTTGTGTGATTTCAGACATTTTTACCACAGCAGGAAGAACTGTGGTTTCTCTAATGATTTTATTCCTTCCCTGCAAGAAATCTCAAATAAGGCTTCTAAGGATTCATCATAAAGTTTAGGGAAAATGTGTAAATGACTAGATGGAGCATGACTTTAAACATCGCTGAAAAACCCAGAGAGCTTTGCATTCGTGTTCCAGATGTTACTAAAAGTCTTGTATTTGTGTTGCTGTGTACTATTAATCATCAAGCTACATCTTGAGACAAAATACATTTGTCGAACAACTTTAATCACTTATGATATGAGATAAATCCCTATTTCATAGTTTTCTTGATTATATTAAGTTTTTAGCAATTTTTAATAAATCTGAGTAGATTGTCAATGCTTCTATCATATAATGAATCTGAAAAATATCCCATAATAGAAGTAGGGAAAATGTCAGCTCTGCCATTTTTTTTATTGTTGACGTATGTTGCATGTACTAATCAAATAACTTTTATTTAACACTTCATAAAGTCAATTGTCTAAATATGAGGACTAGTCTAGTTAAAAATTGACAATGTACTTATCCAAACATACGTAACATCCGTATGCTAAAATACACTTAAAAACAAACATGGCCATCAAAATTCAATGAGATATCACGTGACTTAATTTCTTAGGATGGCTATAATCAAAATGACAATAGTACCTTTTGGCAAGGATATGGTGTAATTGGAACACGTACATTTCTGGTGGGAATGTAAAATGCAGCAGCCACTTTGCAAAGCAGTTTGGAAGTTCCTCAAAAGGTAAAACATACAGTCACCATAGGACCCAGCAATTCCACTTCAAGTATATATCCAAGAGAAATGAATTCACATGCCTACACAAAGACGTGTACCCAAATATTCATAGGAGCATTATTAACAATAGCCAAAATGTATAAAAGACTCAATGCCCATCAACTAAAGAATGGACAAACAAAATGTAATGTATCCATACAATGGAATATTATTCAGATATAAAAAGAAATTAAGTCCTGATTGACACAACAAAGGTGAAACTTAAAAACATTATGTTAAGAAAAAAGGGCAGATACAAAAGGCCAGGTATTGTATGATTCCATTTATATGGTAAATCCATAGAGGCAGAAAGTATATCAGTAGTTGCTAGCAGATGGGGTAAGGGGGTAATGGGGAGTAACTGCTCATGGGTATAAGGTTTCTTTTAGGGATGATAAAAAGGTTCTATATTAGACAGTAGTGATAGTTACACACTTTGGTGAATATACTAAAAACCACTAAATTGTACACTTTAAAAGGGTGAATTTATGGTATATGAATTATACCTCAAAACAAGGAAGCAAATACTGTCAATCACTTAACACTGCAAAAATGTCTATGACTCCTCCAGAAACTTCATATCTGGGGGCCTGCAGCAGTGATTACATTAAATATTATAAGATCTTAATTCTTTCTTATATTTCTTAATAAAAATAACTATCAAGAGAGGTCCTGAAATTTTCTTCTCACAACCCTATGGACAACCACTCTAGAGACATCTAGGCTGAAAAATTAAGCTTTAACATGGCAAACATGATATTGCACAGGCTGTTGCAAACCCTACTTTTCCAGACTCATCTCCTAACATTGTCCTACCACATGTGTAATCCTTCACCACACTGGAAATATCAATCCTTCAGTGGCCATCCTTTGCTCCTTTCTGTACCCTTTCAGAAACTATTCTGTTCGCCTGGAATGCATGACCTCACCTTCCCGGCCGCAACAACCCCTCAGTGAATTTTGCAACTTCTATGAATGTTTCAAGAGCCTCCAGCAAAAGTGACCTGCTCCCAGGTTTGTTTCCTTAGCAGTCTGTCACTGATTCTTTAAAATGTATGCAATAATTCCCTTGGAGCGCCATATCTTTCCCACTAGCATTTAATTTCTCCAGAGCAAGCACATCTAAGTTGTGCTTGGCTTAATTTCAAAAAAGATGATTGAATCAGCCTGTTTTTGTTCATTTAATTAATTTATTTATTTCACTAAGTACCAAAAAACTCATTTCATTTTCAAGTCACTATAAGGATGTGTGCAAAATTTATGTGTTAATGTATAGATAAGCTAGTAAGTACAAATAAAGGAAATTCAATCATATCCACTCTTGAAAATAGGAATAATATTAATTGTTTGCATATATGAATGAATGTGCACAAGAAAGAAGTGACAAAGAAATTAAGGTAAAAATATCTAAAAGAAGGGATATCAATTGGAAAATTTAGTGTCTACAAAGCTGAGCGCAATGGTTTTATAGTCTTAAGTCACTTGGTACTCTTAGAGTAAAAAGAAGAATACAGAATCTTTGAATAAATTTATAATAATTTATAATACATACCATTTATACCAAGTCAAAATTAAATGAACATGAATTATTTTAATGTGAAGAAAAATAAGAAAGTTGATATTTCTACTTTTAAGCTGTATATTTATAGTAATTTACACTATAACATTGCAAAGTCACTTTACAGAAATTAACATCAATGAGTTGAAAAAGAAAATAATTCCAATTTTACTGTTGATTGATTAACATAAAGGCCTGTTTTGCCTTCAAATTATTTGCTGAAGAAGATGCAGCAAATATATGTACTGGCCTAATGTTATATTCCTTGGAGTCTTTTATGTTGTACTCCATAAATACATTTGTGATAAATAAAAACATTACTTATGAAAATAATCTGTTTTATATTAAACATCTTGGTGCTATAAAATGAATACATTTTATTTCCTGATATTCATATTCACCATCATGACTATATAACTCAGAGCAAGTGAAATGAATTAAACAAAAATGACTTTAATAAGTTGTGTTGGTATACATGCACTAATTTTAAAATTCTGAATAGTTATTCCACTAAGACATTAATATAGCTATGTGCCTTTGGAAAGAGACAGAGAGCTACTAAAATTATTTATTTTTAGTAGCCCATTTATTTTTCATATAGCGGGAGTATACTTAATCATAACAGCAAATACTTTGAACTACAGTACTTACGTATTCGTTCACAACAAATATCAAATTATTTTTCAAAAATATACAAAATTCCATTTTAGTAACTCATTAAACAATACATAGAATTTTCAGTATAATACTCATAAAAGCATATACTAACTTGAATGCAAATATATTAAATACACTTTGAAATTACTAACAGTTATGATTGGCAACGATAATCTAATAATTACCTTAATTTGCTCTTCAGTTGCTAAAAGTCCATGTTTTTTTTCCTCCAATTTACTGGACATTTGAACATTGCTGTAAAAAATAAAATTAGATGATGAGAAAAAAATATATATTTTAAGGCTACAGTTGTAGAAAAATTTGAGCAGACATATATTTCTTATTGCTTGCCAAGTATGTTTTCTTCCACAATGCTTGGGGTATGGCAGTAGAACTATGGTATAAAAACAAAACTCAATTCACATGTGACACATCTTCCCACACCATCTAATTTACTATAATGTTCACTGGGAAAAGGTAAGGAATTTGGTAGGTATAAAGTTAAATATTTTCCTACTTAAAAGAACATGCAAGTTTTAAAAATAAATTCTGAGATTTTCACGAAATTTTCTGGTTTCTTGCAACAGGCATTTCCAGCTAAGATCCTGGGATGTGTTTAATCACTTTTATCATTAGAACTGCTGCGGAAAAAAAATTGAGAAACATGTTGGTATATCTTGCTACTCAATCATACAGACACACAAGTACACACGCTCTGTATATTTATGTACATACACAGAGATTGTGATTACAATAATTTAAACAAATTCAGATTTTAATAATATTAGAAATGAATAAACAAAAATAAGTTTACTTAAATAGTAGATTTACAGGGTTTTTTTGGTCTTCATTTTTTTTAAATTGCCATAACATTTTCTATTTCTTTTATTATTAAACTAATATCAACATGCCAGATATTTCACAAGAAAAGAGTAATGTCCTTCAAAGCATTTTCTTTGGGATTTCAAAGCTTTCTAATGATTCTACAACTGGTCATATTAATTTTTGAACTTCTATCTAGTGAGTTCATTTAAGTGCTTTATACAAGCCTCAGCTGCATTAATTATTATGATATTCAGTATTTATCATGCTATTAGGAGTACTATGCTATTAGCAAAGCGCTAAGTAATCATATATGTGCCAAAACAAAGATAAAATCCATTATCTTTGTCATCAAACGAATAAGAACTTATATACGGGCAGACACTCATTAGCATAAAATTAAAATTGAGCTCTCCTTTATAGAATCACTACTGATTACCCACAGATATATATGAAAACAAATTAATGGAAAAATATTCACTAATAAAGCATTATATATTACTTGAAGATCTTGAAATATTAGAGCAATGGAACTTACTGTATTTTTTCTAGTGGATGTCCACCCATATTTGTCCAGTTAGTGAGATTTTGTAGCACAAGAGCAACCCAACCCATATTTGAAAGGCACACTTGACTACTTGAACAGGCAACTGAAAGTAATTTTTTAATCACCTTCTTGAATTTCCCTGCACAGCTGTTCTTTCAACAAATCAAGTATGTTCCTTTAATAATCACTGGCTGTTTACAAAAGGTATTTTTGCCCATGTTTTGAAGAACAAGCATGTTCCATCTTGCAAATATTCTACATATCTGCAAAATCACAAGTAATGACAGTACAGGCTCTCCTACAAATATGCTCACCCTTTAGATCTTTGTTCTCCTATTTAGGAAATACTTTCCGAAATCCACACATGACTTATTCCACATGTTCTCCCTGATCTTACCAGAGCCACACTCTACCACAGACAGAACCAATTGTACCTCCCCTGATGCCCCCATACTTCTTTGTATATTCTTCTATTTTGCTGAACCCTACTTATAATATAAATTGCTTATCATGTGAATTGCTTGAGAACACATAATGTCAGTTGCTTGAGAACAGCAACTGTGACTACTTCTTCAATTTGTATTATCCCTCCCTAAAGAACCAAGCTCCCAATAGGGCCTAAAAATGCTGACTGGGTGAACAAAACACTTATATGTTTTTCAGTTAAAAAATTAAAATTATTTATTGGAAATTGTCTGTATTGGCCTCACATAAATTGAGACCAAAAACAAAAATGTGCCAGTGTATGTGTCAACAAGGTGAATTTTTTTACATAACTATCTTTACAAGTCCTTTTCCTTTCCTGTTTGTTCAGAAGGACAGAGAATCTTCAATTTACGGTTTGGCTATTGAATGTCTCAGTGTTTCACTCAATCACAGCCACTTAAGGCACTTAAGAGGTAGCAGACGACTCAGAGGAAATAAGCTTACACAGGGTCACAGCCTCCTTAAGAGGAAGAAGCCCATGTCTGAGGGAAAACACAGAGAAAGAAAAAGCGAGTAGACAGGTGAAGGGAACAGAAAATCAGAGAAGGGCAGGAAAAGGTATCATATCAAGCGATAGTGTCCCATCAGTAAAAAGTAAAAGGTTGAATTTCTTCTTTTAATTAGTGTACTTGATCTAAAACAGGTTTTTAAAACCAGCTCCTAGAATTTTTTTTTTTTTGAGAAAGATTAGCCCTGAGCTAACATCTGCCGCCAATCCTCCTCTTTTTGCTGAGGAAGAGTGGCCCTGAGCTAACATCCATCCCCATCTTCCTCTACTTTATATGTGGGACACCTACCACAGCAAGGCTGACAAGCAGTGCCATGTCTGCACCCGGGATTCGACCCGGTGAACCCTGGGCCGTCTAAGGGGAACGTGTGAACTTAACCACTGCATCACCGGGCCGGCCCTAGAATTATTTTTGAGCATTGTGATACTTTCAAAGGAAAGCACTCAATGGAGGATATAAAAATTTGGTTGTCTTGGATGAAAATGAATCCATAGAAATATGTTTTTATTACTATTCAAAGTGACATAAAAAGCAATTCACCAGCAATTCACTCTGGGTCTTGTAAATTAAATGGAAATACTTTGGGTATGAGTGCTAAATGACTTTAATTAAAAATTAAAAGTTAAATTAATCTATGCTTTAGATGAAACCTTGTAAACACACATACGTAAGACATCAAAAACGGAAAATAAAATAACACTAAGGTTCGATTCATCAATTAAAAAAAATAAGAATACATGATAAAGATGAACATTAAAGGTAAATTTTCTAATCCTGAAATAGTAAGTTTAAAAAGTACAGCGACTTCATTCATTCATTCATTCATTCATTCCTTCTTTCTTTCATCAAATATTTACTTAGTGCCCAGGGACTGTTCTAAGTCCTGTGGACTCAGGAGTGAAATGAACAGACAAAACTAGCACTCATAGAGTTCACATTTACATTTCAGTTGGATAGAAAGAACAAAATGAGAGAGTGACAGAAAGAGATTGTATATTCTTCACACACTCTTTTTAATCTTTTTAAATTTTAAACACTTCCTATTTTTCAACACTATATTTATATTCTCATTTAATCTCAAAAATTTTTAAAGGTTTTAAACACTTTACTTATACTCTCCTTTAACCTTTCTAAAACTCCCTGAGGTTAGTATGAACATTACCTACTTTATTTTACAAATAAATATTCTGAGACACGGAGTGGCAAAGCCAGAATTTGAATGCAAGTGGTCCATATTCAGAGTCTCATCCTTAACCTTCACAAATAGCACTGTACTGACTATCACTGTCCATATTTGATAAAATGATCTTTATAAGGAAAAGCAAAAAATAAGCTTTCTTAAGTGAATTTTGCAGGAAATAATCATCTCCCAAATTTCATAACACTGTTTACTATTAGAAGGCACCTTCATATTCTGATATTTAAATGAGATTCCAGGATATCCCAGTAAAAATTAGCCGGGAATTAAGAAGAAAAGATATTTTATTGTCTTAGTCTGTGTAGCATTAAGTCCAAAATTATTTGACATCTCCTACTGAAGTGTCCAGTAAAGGTTCATGAGGCAATGAATAAGTGACATGAACAAACATTTTCAAAAGATCATTCTGGTGTCAGTTAAAAGATGATTTGCAGTGTAAGATGACAGTGATATCTTTTAAAAGGTCTGTGAGAATTGAGATTAAAAATATACAACGAGTTAGAGAAATCTTTATAAGGCAGGTTTTTTCCTTTGTGTCTATGAGTTAGCCTTTAAATCACTTTTAGAATTAACAAATGGTTAATTATTGGGTGGCACAATTTTATTATCTGTAAAAAAAGTATATAGCCTTCATAGCTATCATTTCAAATTATTCAGAAGTTAAATACGAAAATATGTGACAAAGCTCTATAAATAGACACATTAACTGCATTTATGATGTTTTACCTCCACATCTTCAACCAGGGCTTCAAATGGTATCTTATTACTCATGACGTTCAAATCATTTTTCCAACTACCATCTTTCAGTCTCTCAATCTACTGGTCTACGGGTTATCTTCAAATATCTTCCATTTTCATTTCTTATTGATAACCATCATCGTCGCCATATTATTCTCTCTATAGAGTATTCAGGTTTGGTTTTCATCTCTATTTCCAATACCATAATCCTCACAGCTATGTGAAGTAGGCAGAGAAGGAATTTTTCCTCTTTTACAGATTAGAAAGCTGCAACTCATACAGATTATCATGGGTATCACATGACAGTGCCAAGATAAGATTCCAAGACATATTACACTTAGCTCGGCTACCTGCTACTACATCATCTCATCACTGGCCCCATACCTGACATATGGCATAGAACCTTGGTATTCTTATAGTACTATTCTATCCCCTCTCAAAGCTACCTTGCAAATAGTGGCCAGAATAATCTGATGAGTCATTTTCCTCATGATAATTTTCAGCTCAGTAGTCCATAAAAGCACTCTACTGCTTTCCATCGAGTCTGGTTTTCCAGACCCTCTATAGGATGAAAATATTCTTTTCTGTTACAAATATCTTCTTGACACTACTCTATTCTACGAAATAGAATTTCCACATCAGCCAGCTTGGGTTGCTGACTGGCTCCTCAGACAGAGTGGCTTGTTGATGTAATCCCCTGTACCAAGAATGCTCTCTGCACTTCTCTACACTTAAGCTTTAATACCATGCTAACACTATGCTAAGATCTCAAGCTCCCATGAAATTAGCTTCAACACTTTCAACACAAACACATCTCTAAAGTCCTGGTGTATTTTAAATCAGGAGTACAAAGTTTAGTCCTAAATGCACCATATTTTCTACATATGGTCATTCATGGGCCCCAGGAATGTAAGCCAATTTATAAAGGAGGGTACCTTGGGGCGGAATTTTAAAT